CAGCAACCGCAGCCGCGAGGAGCGCGGGGGCAGGGGGAGGGAGGGTTCGTCACACATCACATCACGTCACACACCGCGCCGTCGGCCCCGTGCTGGCCGTGCTGGACACCAAGCACATCGGCTCCACCGTGGCATGGGAGAGGCGACGGGCGGGCGGCGCAGCGCGACTTCTTTGTAGTGGATGACGTACGCCGTCTGCGCGCGCGTACGGCCCGACTTCCCGGTGTTTCTGTCCATGACAGACTGACTGGTGTCCTTCTTCACTTTGCTCGAACTGCAGCAGGTGGACATGGTGTGGTGCCGGCGCTGCGGACAGCCGCCAACGTCCGCAGCCACGGCCGATCCGCTGGGACCGCCCTGGATGCTGGACTTTGCCATTGGCCCCCGAGTAGGCCACCCCTTTGCCTCAGCTGTGAAGCGGTTGCCTACTCCTCGGGCGCGCACAGGCTGTCCTGATTCCCCCCCATCCCGATTACGGTAGAGGTAAGGGGGAGCTTGCGGGCGATGGGAGGGCTTCCTGAAGAGTTAAAACATGGATAAAAGCGGTTGTTGAACGAACGTTTTCGATACGTTCTCCCATCGCCCTCTGGCACTGACGGTCGACGTCAACGTCCTTCGTAGTGTAGTAATTGCGAAGGCCGCGACGCTGCTGGCGCGCTGTAGTCGAGTGGGGAGGGGAGGGAAGGGCGGAGGGAAGAGCTCGGCGCAAACTGTGAATAAACGAACCGAAGACTAAACAAACCTGTAAACACACTCGGGCGGTGATGCGGTTGTTGTTGTTGTAAACGTTGTGACTGACCTATCCCGGTGAATCGAGACTGTTCTACTTTTTGCATGTGATTTTGCCTTTTATGTTCTCACAAAATAGACCAACTATTATGTTTCCATAGTTATTGGTACTCATATTGGTGGTTGATCCATTATATGGCACTGTTTTTCTCAAAGCTGAATGGACATATGTGTTATTGTAGTCATTAACCTATACGATGACTATTTTGCTACAATGCACTTATGGCTCTGGGAAGTTATTCTTGTTGTAAAAGCAAGTTCAAGAAAAGTTCAACTATTCTGCTTATTTTCCAGGAGCCTGTCAAGTAAGTTATCTTTTAGATACCTGTGATAGAATAGCAAACATTAGAAGCCAATGTGAATGTGAGGGTTTGATGGCAGAGTATTTTATAGATCATGGTGACTAGTGATTTTGCTGAAGTAGAATGTGCATCCAGAGCTGAACTGATAAAAAACAACAGTCTAGTTATGTGCTACCAAAAAAGCGAATGTCCAAGTCTAATGTAGCAAAACAACGAAAGTCCACATGTGAGCTAACATAAGAGCGAAAGTCCAATTATTTTGTGGACTTTCGCTGTTATGTCAGCCCATGGTTGGACTTTCGCTGTTTTGATCTGAAAATGTATGGACTTTCGCTGTTTAGGTCAGCTCACATGAGGACATTCGTTTCTTTGTTGGCTCAAGGGTGGACTTTCGCTATTTGGTACTGCTCTATATCTCTGCCGTTTATTAAGATATTTTAAATCCGTTTACACAGAAAGATCCGTCTTAAAGTATAGAGTTTACTGCTAACAAAAACCTGAAATGAGTAAAGGGTGGACTTACGTCCTTATGTTGGCTCATCAGTGAAAGGCTATAGCCTTTGTATATTTTGCAAAAAATGAAAAAAATAAAAATCGCTGGAAATGGTTGGGATTGGTCC